CCCTGGAGCGAAAAAAGGCGTAGTACCATGGCCTTTCTCCCGAACATTTAAAACTTTGCTTTCTCTTTTATATTAATTATATTTATTTTTATTGTTGGAACAAGTCCGTTATCTGTTTACATGGAGTGACACCTTAAACATTACTGTACAATTACGAAACACACTCTTTCCACACACGCACATACCTCGCATCTAACGGTTCATACCATGGGGATAGACTAAAATCAGGATTCGAGCTCAGCTTCACACGAACCTTGGTCCAAGAAGCTCGCCAATCGGTTAGGCCAAAGGTCCTTCAAACCTCGCATAAGAGCTATCAATGGTTCAATCTACTTCGCGCCGCAAACAAAGTTGGCCTTCTGAGATGGCTAAACAACGTGGACTTGCAGATCAATGAACCACTCAAATAAGGCTTAGTAAAAGACTAAATGAAGGCATAACCAAACGGCTCAGCCAAACCAAACAAGCAAACCCAATTAAGAATCTTCAAACCAAGCACAACAATCAAATACAAATAGACAAGCTGAGTGAGGCACACTTGGCCTGCTTTGAAATGCACTGAGTAGGCTCACCCAATCAGTGGACATCTACAAAAAAAAAAAAAAAAAAAACGCGTGCATGCTTATGTAATATTTTCATGTCAAGCCAACAAACACTGCTCGAACTCGAAATTCTGCCAGCACGGTCTGTAAACCAAATAAGAAGAGCATATCGGTAGGCCAGAGCAGCAATTACGTGGCCTATGATGACGCACGTTTAGGCTTAGTTCACAGTGGACCTTGTCAAACGGACTTTTCGTCTAGTGCTAACAATGCCTGGTATATGCGGGCAAAGAATTGCAACCTGGAATTAGCCACTTGCGCCTTCGGAGATGGCCGGCCTTATAACTGATGAGGATGCCTGCTCTGGATTGGGTTACGAATTTAGCTCGATGGGATTATTTAGGTAATCCTAAAGTTTCATTGCTTAAATCAGGTACAGGAATTAAAGGGCTATTGAGAGGGCGTTAATTCTGTGCGACCAATAATGACCGACATAAATTCCATCGGTGGCGCATCTTGACACGTAGCAACTGCAGTTAACATGAAATAGGCAGGAGCTATCAATGCGGCCACTGATAGATGGCTATGGTCACCGAGTAGACGTTGGACATCACCAAGCGAAAGGAATCCTCCGATCCGAGCTAAAGTAAGCATGGCTTGAAGAATGATCGGGCTAAGATGACGAGAGCGACTCTTGACGAGTTGAGAATCTTAATCAAGGCAAAGGGCTGCATGGAGTTCTTTCGAGCAATGAGTAAAATGACTCTAACCAGCAGAACACCAGCGAACCGTGCTAGTGGAATTCTTTGCGGAACCAACCGGCCAGAACTAGCTCAGACATGAAGAACTATTGGGTTTTAACCAGTTGAACTGAGCTCATGTAAGCTCAACTGCGTATACTACGTGGCCCAATTGGAGTCGAGAGGAAAAACGCCAATACTACCTCAATACCTTGGCTATTTTGTCGATTGTTTGGCAGTATGACCCGCAAGTGTAAGGAAAGGAGGAGCAGTACATCCATGCCAGCAAAAAAAGGAGTTAAAGTGGCCCACAATCTGGAAGGCAAAGGAATAGTTTATAAAAGACGCGACTCCACAAAGGAAGATGTCTGCAATTTCTCTTATCTAGAGCTATCCTTGCTTTTGTCTTTCTTTTCTCTTTAGAGGTGCTAATTGACCTGGAGAGGTTTTCAACAACCACTCCGTAACTCACCGTCATTTTGCTTTTAGTCCACGAACTTGTTGGAGCAACGCAAGCTTGGAGAAAAGAGTAAGAAAGAAGAATATTTACTCCCGCATACAACAAATGGCAGTGAAGAAAAGGTGATCCATCCGTTCTACTCTATGTCGCAAAACTAGTGAAAGTTAGCATTATCTTGAAGAATTCTTGATTGATTAAATCTCCTTTAGGATTCTTCCTTTCAAAGATAACTACACAATGATTTCACTTTTGATGGGGCACATTTATCCAGAGAAGTTTACAGTTAGTCATCATCTCCCCCTAAAGCATATTCAAAATGATTGCAACAAGGTTTAACAGTGTAGATCCTATTTTTCAACTTTCCAGCGAAGAGAATCATTACAGTCGGGTGGGGGAAAATATTGTTGAGAGTACTGTGTCGAAAATTGGAGGTTTTGGTATGTTTGCTAGAGCTTTTTGCTTGTAAGAAATCAAAAGTTTTGCTCTTTAATTTGCATGTAGTTCTTAATTTTTCTTGAATTGTTTGAAAAGATTATAATTTTTTTTTTTTTTTTTAAATCTAGATGAGAAGGAAAAAAAAAATAAAAAATTGTGTCAACAATATTACATGTACCTGTTAAGAGATCTCAATGCAAGAAGTCTTTTTGGCCATTCAAATGCCAAATTTTAGCATGCACAATGTCCAAAATGCTACAATTTGACATTTTTTCACAATGCAAAATATGATATAATTTTGCCCAATCAACATTTTTTTAATTACTATTTTAAATACATTCTCAACTCATTTATCCAATGACATTAGTAGTGAATGATTTTCTCATTTTTCTTTTTGGTTTGGATCTTCCATATTTCCGTATGCATGCAAAGATAAATTTGTGGGCAAATTTTGGGAAAGGGAAGAGATGTTTCAATGATGGTGTTTGCTGAAATTATAAGATTTTACAATGCAAGAATTTATAAGTTTTAGATTTCAATGATTGATTTATAGTTGCACAGTGGTTATGTTGCTGAATTATTAGTAATTTACAGATTGCAGAAATTATAGAATTTTTAGATCTTCCATATTTTTTGTGTGATTTATAGCCCTTCGCTACGTCACAATGTTTGCACAATATCATGTAAGTCTAGCAAAATAATAAACAAAATATTAGCACAAAATAATTTCAGAAAATATTATATGGACACAAAGTAATTTAGAGTTGGGAATGATATAGCTGTACGAGTTTGAGAGTCACCTTGTCATAATTAAAATTGATTTTTCTTTCTCTTGTGAGATGTTAACTAGTGAGGTAGTTCAAAAATAAAACTCATTTGCTCATAATGTCCATCGTCTTGTTTTAGAAATGAGATTTGTGGTCTTTTCTCATAGTTGAAGGATTTTTTGAATTTTAAACTATCATTAGGATATGTTACCGTGAAAGTCTTAACTCTTTTTTTTTTTTTTATTAATGTTATGTATTTTATTTTTTTTATTTTAACATTTCAAATATGTGAAATTTCACACTATTAGAAATTAAAATTTTTCAATTCAAAAACTATGTGAAATTCAAAAACATTTCTCAGAAAAGTTTTACAATTTCAAATCCTGTAAGTGTAATTTTTTTTTTATTTCTCATTTTAAATGCTCTCTCTGTCTCAAAATATTAATCCCTTATTCCATTTTTCATTGTCTCAAAATATTAGTCATTTTTCAAAATTCAAGGACTAAATAAATATGAATTTTCTATTTTTCCATTTTTTTTTAAATTCATTAACATAAGGAGTACAATTATGACAATTGATATTCCTAAAAAAATATACTATCAAAGGGTAATTTTGAAACATCAATTTTTTTAACGTGCAATAATTGCACTATCAAAAAAATTTAGAATCCCCAAAAGGGACTATTAGTTTGGGACGGAGAGAGTAATTTAATTGAAAAGTGTTATTTTCACACTCCTAGATACAAGTGAGTAAATCTCATGTGTATTTGTGGGTCTATTACCTCATGTCTAGAGTGAGAAAATGTAGTAAAAATAGTAATTACTTATAATATTGCTCATTTTATATTCAATTGAGTGGTTTTACTTTCTTCGTTTTGTAGATCTTATTGAGTAATTTTCAAAAATGTAAATTTTAGGGTGAATTATAATAATTGTCCCTATAGTTTGAATCTCGTGTCATTTTGATCCCCACTTTTTAATTCTGACACATTTGACCATGAATTTTGAATTTTGTTTCAAATAAGGACAATTGAATATATCATTGCTCAATTTTAAGAGCAAAGTCGTCAATTTGATAAAATATAAATTAATTTGACAAAAATAAATGTCAAAAACATATTTTTGAATTTTTAAAAATAATTTCTACCCACCAAAGATAAAATTATATAAAATTGATAAATCTTTTAGACATTTATTTATTTATTTTTACCAAATCAATTTGTATTATGTGTTTGGATAATGATCATGTAATAGATGGTTGTTATGCTTTTAATGTGTAATCGATATATTTAATATATAAAATATTTTTAGTTTTGGATTTTTTTGATTTAATAGATTGGTTTAATAATGATATCAAAATTATCGTTATATTTGACTTTTGGAAAAATATAAACTAATTTAATGAAAATAAAAATAACTACCCATTATATGACCATCATCCAAACACATAATAAAAATTATTTTGGTAAAAAAAAAATAAATAAATGTTTAAAAAATTTATCAGTTTTACATAATTTTATTTTTAGTGGGTAGAAATAAAATTTAAAAATATTTTATTGACATTTATTTTTGTCAAATTAGTTTATATTTTATCAAATTGACGAGTTTGCCCTTTAAATTAAGCAATGATATCTTCAATTGTCCTTATTTGAAATAAGATTCAAAATTCAGGATCAAATATGTCACAATTGAAAAGTCAGGGGTCAAAGTGACACAAGACCCAAACTATAAGGACCGTTAGTGTAATTCGCTCTAAATTTTATTAAAAATGGATGTATACATAAAAATCTAACATTTTAAAAATAGAGTGATGGAGACCCTCTCCAATCACCATCCCCACCACCCCACACACATGTGGCAGATGGTGATTGGAGGACAAGAGAAACAATAGAAAAGAAAAAAAAAATCCAACCAATGAGAGAGAGATGAGGTCAAAGGAGGTGGAAAAAAAAAGGGTCTTAAACATTTTTGTTAAAAATAATAGTTACCATATAAGCGTATTGACCACTTTCATAGATTTGTGTTTGTACATAAATAAGGGTAAGAATGTCTAAATTTTTACTAAAATTTTGAAACAAGGACTTAGTCTCCCAAATAACTTTTATAATGAGACTTTATTTGGAAAAAAAATGGAAAAAAGAAAAAAAGAGCAGCCATGGCACTTAATGGAATGCAAGTGCATGTAGACTTTTCACTAATTTTTCTTAAAAAAATTTAAAATAAAAATAAAATAAGGAATTGGACGTTTAACCCGCCATCAAAAAGTTGTACAATAGACAACGACATCAACTTGTTTCAAAAGAGTTACATTTAACTGCACTACCATCGAGCAACAAGCTCAGTAATTGTAACATCATTTGTTGAAACCTGTGTTGATTTAGTTTCAGATTGATCTGATGACTCTGTCAGTATTGAATTGAACTCATGCGACAAATTGCCTTGGCCTTGCCTTTCTGGCAATAAAAATGCAGGATGCAAAGGCAATGACAGACTAAACGAGTTGCTAATGAGCATGCTAACAACTATAGCCATGGTTGGTCTGTCTGCTGCATTTTCTTGAACGCACAATAAACCAATATGGATGCATCTCATAATCTCACTTTTTGGACCTGTGATCAATGTTGAATCCACTATATCTAGAATTGTATTTTTTCTCCAACACTTCCACGCCTGTAAGAGTTCAAAGAGGTAAATATATGGTAAAAAAATTTAGATTTATAACTTCACCAACCATGCAATAATTTAAATGGTAGTTGCTTTCATAACCTCGACTCAACAACTTTTTTTTTCCCCACTGTTGAGACTACCAATAAGAAATTTGGTATTTAAAATAATTGGCAATCTATAACTACTATCTCTGTTGGCTCAAGCTCATTGAAACTCAAACTTTCTGAAGAAAACTCTTCTTTTTAGTTGCATTCATAAGTCATTAGTCCCATCCATCCCCTAAAAAAAATAAAGAATAGAAAAGAAAACACTCATGCTTACATAGCTTAGAAGGTCCTCGCCATTCTCCATATCACGGAAACAAAAGATCTTTTGACCGCTTAAAATTTCCAATAGAATCACACTAAAGCTGAAGACATTTGACTTAACCGAGAATTGTCCACGTTGAAAATATTCAGGAGGCATATATCCACTGGCATGTTATTGTCTATCATATTATTTTCAATGATATGATCTATTTGCATGATATAATCAATTTGTTCAACTTGTTCATAGAGTATCTTCTGTTTTTTGTTTAGTATTTGGATTGGTGAATCAAGATAAATTCTTAGTTTGTGAAGGAAATACTTACATGGTACCCATGATTCTGCTTGTTGTGTAATGGGAATGATCTAATGCAATTAGTCTTCCTGTGCCAAAATCTGAAATTTTAGGATTCATTTCTGCATCTAACAAAATGTTGCTAGCTTTGAGATCACGATGAATAATCCGAGGTTGTGAATCTTCATGAAGATATAGAAGCCCTCGAGCAAAGCCTTGTATAATGTTGAAACGTTTTTTCCAATCCAAATGTGCACGTTTGACATGATCTTCATAATCATACAAAGTATGTGTTCAAATATACTTTTATCATATAAGCATCACTAGTCAAAAAATTATATATACTTGAAAAAGTAAAAGAAGTAGTGCACTGTACCAAATATGAAATGATCGGGGCTTTTGTTAGGCATAAACTCATAAATGAGAAGTAATTCTTTCTCTTCCAAGCAGAAACCTAAGAGACTGATCAAATTCTTGTGACGAAGCTTAGTGAGTAACAAAACCTCATTCTTGAATTCTTCTTGACCTTGTCTAGAATTACCAGAGAGCTTTTTCACAGCTATTTCTCGCCCATTTAGAAGCACACCCTATGTTTTTATGAGAATAGTTTAAGAAACAATGTCATATGCAACATTTCATTTCACACCACAATTTTGACAATTAATTTTATTTATTGTAACTGCATGAGTATGCATCTAATTACCTTGTAAACAGGGCCAAATCCACCTTCTCCAAGCTTATTAGCATGTGAGAAATTATCCGTTGCATCTCTAATTGTTCCAAAGTCAAATTGCAAGGATTTGATAGATGGCATTGAATTGTCATCTTCAAAAGAAGTATAGGGAATAAATAACTAAATTGAACTATGTAATGGAAATACATCATGATATTACAAAGGAGAGGACACTTCCAACTATGTGGTGTTTTGAAAAGTTAGTAAAAAGCTGATTTTTTTTTTTTTAAGTCAAAAAGCTGATTTTTTTTATCAAGTTCCCAAATTACCCCCATATGTTACTCAAATTCTCCTATAATATTTTCTTCATGAAAATAATTTCCAAAATAACATAGTGAGAATATTAGCTCTAAAAACAAGTATAAATGGTGAACTTACTTTCTGTAGCCTCCCCTGAAGACTTGACTTTCCTCGTTATCAAATAGTTGCCAAGGAAGATGACAAGAAGAATCACCAAAATGGCTGCCAAAGTAATAGTGGTGATGAATGTTACTGATGTTTTTCTCTTCTTCCCTACGAAAACCAAAAACATTTTCTGACTAAGATGGTGAAAAATGCTGAATTTGACATTGCTCTTTTGTGGAGATAAAGTTAGTATTCCCGAAGATTGGCCAGATTTTGACATCACTGCTAATACAGCTACTAGTACATTAGTTTCAAGATCGCAATAAAACATAGAACTACTCTTTCTACCAAAAACATTTTTTTTTTTTGTTTTTTGAAAAAATCAAACGAAGTGTAAATAAGAGTATATGAGAGCAATTCTCGTGTGGTACCGTACCTAAAGATGGCCGTAAGGGAGCAGGAGGCCCGGTTGTGTTTTTTGTGGAAGCAGAAGGTGGCAGGGAGGGAGGAGGGACTAATTCATAAAAAGCTACCAAGTCAAACCTTGCCTGACAATTTGGCCTATAATCCAGTCCTCACTCGTTGCCGTGAGTGTGATGTCGAAGTCTATCAAGTGCATATACTAAACAGTCCCTGCAAGCATTTTCAGTTATGTCGGGAGTGCATTGCACGGAGCAATATAACTGCTGAGAACCAGTGATCTTGGCTTCTCCTGTTGCAAATTTTGTTTTTGTTTTTGTTGTTGAAGAACCAAAAGTAACCTTAGTAATAAGGCCATCCATTGTTTTTGTTTTTGTTGTTGAAGAACCAAAAGTAACCTTAGTAATAAGGCCATCCATTGTATTTGCCAATACTTGATCCAACCTATCAAGATTGTAGAAAGATATTAAACTGTTCCAATCAAGGTTCTAAATCGCGGTATCGGGTAACGTAACGGTATCGATCGCGGAGTATCGGTATCGGTAGTATCGATCGGTACGTATCGGGAATCGGGTGTCGCGGTGGTGAAATTTTAAAAATCATTTCAAAGGTTTTTCAACTTTTTCTTTCCCGTACCGGTCCGAACCGGTGAGTATCGGCCCGTCGCGGCTTGTGTAACGGCTTGTGTAACGCTTACAGGCCGATACGTACCGGGACTCGGCCGATACTCCTGCGATTTTTAATCTCAGTGGTATATCGGCCTGTATCCGTCGCGGCACCCCATTTTTCCGATACGTAGCGTATCGGCCGATATTTAGAACTATGGTTCCAATAAGCGCCAGGATCATGTTCTTCGGTGGAGAAGAAAGAATAGTTTGCATATCGTACAACACATCCCACATAGTATATAATAGCTTTTTTCTGATTTGGGCAGTATTGTGTGATGGAATGTGAAGCATCTTGGACACAGGCCTGGAAATCTTGGGTGGCAATGTACGCTGGGCAAAAGCTAAGTGCATACACTGTGTTTTCGTCTCTACCAAAGGTGGAGTTGTAGAAGTTGGTCAGGGGGGTTTGAGAGGAGAGATTAGCAAGGAGGTGGTTGAGATTGTTTTGAAACACACCACTATTATTTGTGTAATTAAATTGGTAATCACAAAATGTAGGACGTAGGTTCCAAAGGTAGCTGAACTAACAAATTGTGGAAAGAAGAGAATGAATGGAATAGTTACTGTACGAGTACGAAATAATTCTTCTCGTATGATCCTGTTGATCAAGTTTGCACTCCTCCAAACGTCGTTGCTTTGCCACCTGAAAACACAAACGTGAGCTAACCGGCGGATGTGTGCCAGAAACTCCTCCGATGCCTAAGTCAGCAACTAGATAATAAACAATAAGCTCTGTGTATTCTAGAGTAAGAATTGGGATACCTGTGCATAGGTCTGGTCATGAGCTTTTATAGACTCTGCTTGGCACATTCCTAGTAGGATTCCAACTCTCCCTATGAGAGTCCTCCTAGGAATATCACACCCTACTTACTACCAACCAAGTGAGATGGTTTTGCACAATCCTAGTAGGACTCTAACTTTCCTTAGCAGAGTCCTTCTAGGAGTCACACTCCTACTCACTACCAACTAAGTGAGATGGTTTACACAATCCCAGTAGGACTCTAACTCTCCTTAGCAGAGTCCTACTAGGAGTCTCATCACTGCAAGCCAAGTGAGATGGCTGAACTTTTTACCTCGGTTATACATTCCTGCCCGAACTGATTTATCTCGGTCCCCTGCCCTTCGGACCGTGTGATCGAAAGCCGATCTAACGGATGCCACCCTGCCGAGCTATACACAGCTCGGTCCTCGCCATTGATGCTACCTCCTTTTAATAAGCTGCTGCAACTACACCGAGCTAAATTACCTCGGTCACATGCTTAAGTAATGATGTAGATGGCGCCCGGCCGAGTTATACCAAGACCGGCGGCCGAGCTATACCAAGCCCGACATCCTTTCTCACCAATACCTCGGCTAACCACCAGGCCCACTTATTTCGGCTGACATCTTTACCTCGGTTAACATTGCGGTCAGCCAAGTTACTTCGGCTCTGTGATACTTTAAGCACTACTATCAGTCTTAACTTTGAGATGACGCCTTGTAGAGCTATCGTTTAGCTCGGTCCTCTTTCTACTGATACCTCGGTCCATAGTTCGGCCCAAACCCAAAATATGAGATGTCTTCTTGGCTTAAGACCGAGCTACACCAGCCCTTATCTCGGCCCATTACGCGGTCCAACTCCCAAAGAGGACCCTTCCTAGCTCGGCCCAATTTGTTTACAAATTACCCTCTCAATTGCCCCTTAATTCCATCTGCGTAGCATGATTGGGATTATTTTTCCTCCAGCCGAGATAAGAAGTTGTTCGGTTTCACGGCTTGTTTAGTCCCAATAAGCCTTGTCAGTTGCTTAGCATGTCCTTCCACTAATCTGGTACGACGTTATTCCCAGGATACATGGCGTGCCCCCAATATCCTTGTTCTCCTTGTTACCATCGTCATGCCAAAAATTTGAATAGCCCTGATTTTTTGCCTTTAACGTATGTATCCTTCCGAGTTTGTATACGTCGAGTCGTTCTTTCTGTGTCTTTGCCGAACAGACTAACTCGATTTATATGAACCTTGCCAACCTGTTTTGGCCGAGGTAACCATCATCCCGGCCAAAGAGTTTCAGAAATTTTGTTGGACATACCTGCCAACTTCCTGCAGCCTAGATCCTTATCTCAGCTTAGGAGAAGTAAGTGTTGGTTTTTCCAGTCAATCACTCTTTAGGCGATGTCCTTACTTCGGCTGAAGAGTACCAAGAGTTGGTTTAATCCAGCCAACCACTCTTTAGCCGATGTCCTTACTTCGGCTGAAGAGTACCAAGAGTTGGTTTAATTCAACCAACCACTCTCTAGCCCGATGTCCTTACTTCGGTTAAAGAGTACCAAGAGTTGGTTTAATCCAGCCAACCACTCTTTAGCCCGATGTCCTTACTTCGGCTAAAGAGTACCAAGAGTTGGTTTAATCCAGCCAACCACTCTTTAGCCGATATCCTTACTTCGGCTAAAGAGTACCAAGTGTTGGTTTAATCCAGCCAACCACTCTTTAGCCCGATGTCCTTACTTCGGCTAAAGAGCACCAAGAGTTGGTTTAATCCAGCCAACCTCTAAGTTGGTTATTCCGGCCAACCTAGAGTAAAGTGTTTGGTTTTTCCGACCAAACGTCCTGCAGCCTGGATTCTTATCCTGGGCTTAGGAGGGGTGTTGGCTTTTCCAGCCAACCTCTAAGTTGGTTATTCCAGCCAACCTAGAGTAAAGTGTTTGGTTATTCCGACCAAACGTCCTGCAGCCTGGATCCTTATCCTGGGCTTAGAAGGGGTGTTAGTTTTTCCGGCCAACCTCTAAGTTGGTTATTACAGCCAACCTAGAGTAAAGTGTTTGGTTATTCCGACCAAACGTCCTGCAGCCTAGATCCTTATCCTAGGCTTAGGAGGGGTGTTGGTTTTTCAGCCAACCTAGAGTAAAATGTTTGGTTATACCGACCAAACGTCCTGCAGCCTGGATCCTTATCCTGGGCTTAGGAGAGGTGTTGGTTTATTCCAGCCAACCTCTAGATTGGTTTTTCCAGCCAACCTAGAGTAAAGTGTTTGGTTATTCCGACCAAACGTCCTGCAGCCTGGATCCTTATCCTGGGCTTAGGAGAGCTAAATATTGGTTATTCCGGCCAACATAGAGCTAAGCGTTTGGTTATTCCTGCCAAACTTCTTGATTGCCCCCCAAGTCGGGCAAAGACTTTTCAGAAAGAGTTGGTCAAACCTGCCAACCCACTTTGCCCCTAGTTAGGAAAAGATTTTTACGTGGTCGGTCCTACTTGTCAACCGTGTTATCTTTTGCCGAAGATGTTTTGTTGGACATCGCTGTTGTGCCAGACTCTGCCTTGGTGCATACCCCATCTTCCTCTACCCTAATGTGTTGGTGCATCCTCTCTATCAGGGCTTCCATAGTAAGGGGCAACATCATTGTCATTGAATCTCTCAACTCAGTTCACGATATTCTGCTTCAGTCAATTTTACACAATCAAATAGATACTGCTCGTCTTCTATATAATCTCTGAGCTCTCAGTTTCTTCAAATACTCTTGCCTTGACACTTTCTTTATAGCTCCAATGCCATCTTCCTCCAAAGCATTAGACCACTGAACAGCTTCCTTTTCCTCCTTCTGTGTTAATTTTGGCTCAGATATCTTCCTCGTTGCTGCTGCGTCCCTCTCTTTGGTCATGCAATTGTTCTTCCTCCGACTCAGAACCATCATCATCATCCTGAGAAGTCCGTCTTTTAACTCGTCTTTCTTCTTCACTGCTTTTCTTTTTCTTCGAATCTTCCTTCTCTGTCTTCGTCTTCTTCGACTTTCTCTGCTTCGAATCCTGCTTCTCTGTCTTCCGACTCCTTTTTTCTTCCCTTTGCCTTTTATCTGGCTCTTCATAGACTCTATGTTAGTAGTCATTCTTCTTATTACTTTGTCTTGCTTTCTTACGCGATCTTCGAGAACCTGTGGATCCATCTTCTGCCTTGGGCGGGATAGAAGGAAAACCTTCACGCATCCCACCCCCTTCCGGGGTTTGCCCATCTATAGTAGATTGCGACAAGTCTTCATTGTACGCCATTGCTTTCAACTAGAGAGAAAAACTTGATCAAGAGGTTTTGCTCTTTGTGAATTTCCCACAGACGGCGCCAATTGTACGAGCACGAAATAATTCTTCTCGTATGATCCTGTTGATCAAGTTTGCACTCCTCTAAACGTCGTCGCTTTGCCACCTGAAAACACAAACGTGAGCTAACCGGCGGGTGTGTGCCAGAAACCCCTCCGATGCCTAAGTCAGCAACTAGACAATAGACAATAAGCTCTGTGTATTCTAGAGTAAGAATTGGGATACCTGTGCATTGGTCTAGTCATGAGCTTTTATAGACTCTGCTTGCCACATTCCTAGTAGGATTCCAACTCTCCCTATGAGAGTCCTCCTAGGAATCACACACCCTACTCACTACCAACCAAGTGAGATGGTTTTGCACAATCCCAGTAGGACTCTAACTCTCCTTAGCAGAGTCCTCCTAGGAGTCACACTCCTACTCACTACCAACCAAGTGAGATAGTTTACACAATCCCAGTAGGACTCTAACTCTCCTTAGCAGAGTCCTACTAGGAGTCTCATCACTGCAAGCCAAGTGAGATGGCTGAACTTTTTACCTCGGTTATACATTCCTGCCCGAACTGATTTATCTCGGTCCCCTGCCCTTCGGACCGTGTGATCGGAAGCCGATCTAACGGATGCCACCCTGCCGAGCTATACACAGCTCGGCCCTCGCCATTGATGCTACCTCCTTTTAATAAGCTGCTGCAACCACACCGAGCTAAGTTACCTCAATCACATGCTTAAGTAATGATGTAGATGGAGTATCCA